CTCCTGGTCTTAAATATCCATTTGCAACCAATGGGTTTCGCACCTTCATGCAATGGAATGAGGTCCCATACGTCATTGTCCTTCATGGACTTTATCTCTTCAGTCATAGCATCGAGCCACTTTTGAGAGTTAGAACTTTCCATGGCTTGACAGAAGTTGATTGGATCATCTTCCTCCATCCCAATGTCAACTTCATGTTCTTGAAGAAATACGATGTAATCATTCGAAACCGCACTTCTCCTCTCTCTAGTGGATCTTCTTAATGGCATTGGTTCTTGAGGCTGTAGAGTTTGTTCTTCTAGAACAATTTGTTGATCTTGAGAGGGAGGTATGACATTGTTTTAATCCAGAGTTGCTTCTTGAACAATAACAGGGATAGAAACCTGATCATTGTCAATGGCAATTGGAGGAATTTCAACATATTCCTCCTTAAAGACAAAGCCTATAACCCTTTCTCTCCCCGCAAACTCAACATCCTCAAAGAACCTAGCATTTCCTGTCTCGAAAATTGCCTTAGTTGTGGGATCATAAAATTTGTAACCCCTGGACCTTTCAGAATATCCAATGAAATAGCAACTGATGGTCCTTGCGTCCAGTTTCTTTTCATTTGGCTTATAGGGCCTTGCCTCAGCTAGACACTCCCAAATATGTATATGCTTCAAACTAGGCTTCTTGCCCGTCCAAAGCTCATATGGGGTTTTATCAGTGGCCTTAGTTGGAACTCTGTTGAGTATATAAGCTGCAGTCTTTAATGCTTCACCCCAGAGAGATTCTAGTAAGGTAGAATGACTAATCATACTCCTCACCATATCCTTAAGTGTCCTGTTTCATCTTTCAACAACACCATTCATAGTGGACGAACCCGAAATAGTGTACTGTGGGACGATATCGCATTCCTCTAGGAATTTAGCAAAAGGTCCTGGACGCTGTTCACCTGAACCGTCATATCTGCCATAGGTTTCACCCCCACAGTCAGATCTGACGCTTTTAATCCTTTTGCCGAGTTGGTCCTCAACTTCAGCTTTATAGTTTTTGAACACATTCAGTGACTGTGATTTTTCATGACTGAGATATATGTAGCCATATCTTGAAAAGTCGTCTATGAACGTTATAAAATATTGTTGACCATTCCAAGAACCCGTAGGGAATGGTCCACAAATATCCGTATGTATAAGTTCTAAGACGTCCGAAGTCCTATTAGCTTGAAATCTCCTTTTATTGGTTTGTTTTCCTTTATATAGTTGACACACAAATCATAATCTGTGAAGTTAAGAGGGTCGAGAATCTCGTCAGACACAAGTCTCTCAATTCTCCTTTTGGAGATGTGACCTAATATCTTGTGCTACAACGAGGCAGAATTCTCGTCGTTTAATTTTCGCTTTACACCTCGAGTACTTACATGCAAGGTTTCATTATAAGAAGCAATTGTATCAATTGAATATAGATTATCGTAACCTGATAAAGAACCGGAACCAACCAATTTTGAATCATGAAACAAACTAAATTTTCTATTTCCAAAAGAACAAGTATAACCAAATTTGTCCAAAACAGAAATAGAAATCAAATTTCGTCTAAAAGACGGTACAATAAATGTCTCAATAAGATCCAAATAAAATCTAGTCTTTAACAATAATCTAAATTTTCCTATTGCCTCTACTTCCATTCTATTGTCGTCGCCAGCATAGATGTATCTTTCACCATCACTTGGTTTTCGACAACTTAGGCAATCCTGCATAAACATACTGATGTGAGTTGTTGCACCAGAATCTATCCACCATGTACGTCTAGGTACCGAAGTTAAATTAACCTCAGAACAAACTAAATGAAGAAGAGTACCTTTCTTTACACTCCATGCGTGGTAATTGGTGTAATTCTTCTTCTTATGACCTACAGCTCCACAGAAGAAACAACCACCTTCAGTTGGTTCCTTATGCTGTTTCTTTTGCGGTGCCGTACCCGCAGCTTCCTTATTAATCTTCCTTTTCTTGTTGCTTTTGTCCTTAGAGGTGGTGGCTAAATAAGCACTTTCTGTCTTCTCATGCTTTAGTCTTTCCTCTTCCTTGACACAGTGTGAGATGAGCTCATTAAGGGACCATAAGTCCTTTTGACAGTTGTAGCTCACCTTGAATTGACTGAAATGTGTTGGAAGGGATATCACAACCAAGTGCACCAACAAGTCTTTAGATAAATCCAACTTGAGTGCCTTTAGTTTTGAAGCAATGTGAGACATTTCCATAATGTACTCCCGAATGTTTCCTTTCCCTTTATACCTCATTGAGACAAGATTTGCCAAAAGTGTACTTGTTTCAACCTTTTCATTCTTGGCAAACCTCTTCTCAAGGTCCTCAAGGAAACCCTTAGCCGTAGTCACCTTATCGGACATAGTGCCCCAAATGCTTCTGGAATAGCACGCTTCATGACTATTAAGCTTATGCGGTTCGATCGTTCCCACTTTTCCATCTCCCTCTTATCATCATAGGTACTCTTATCAATAAGTGCAGCAGGTTGATCGACCCGTAAAGCAAGGTCTAGGTCCATGACTCCGAGAACAATCATAACGTTCTCTTGCCATGCCCTGAAGTTTGTGCCATTTAACATTGGAATTGAATTGATGCAAGTAGAGATATTAGAAGTAGAACCTGAAACTGAATTAGAGAACATTTATTATGAATAGCTCACATGAATATCTTTAATATGCAAATAATAATAATAATATCAAATAGTGGTAGGGCCCATCACAAGATACCAAGCACAACATCAATATCCAGTCTTTGGACAGAGATATTGACTTGTAAACGGTACTCTTGGCGTAGTGATCAAACATTGACGATAAAACAACGTGTCAATCAATAAACCTTTCTTTGGACCGATTTATTGATTACACATTAAACCAAATAATCGTCACACGTTTATCACCACAGGTACACGTGTATTCAGCTAAATATTGACCTTCCTTTGGGCCGACCAATATTCCCATGAATAACACATGCACAAGCACTTTTTAACATTCTAAGTTAGTCAATTTTCACAAGAGAAGTTGCTTTGGCAACATGTTGTTTCAATTAACTAACTTTCGAATATTATATCTCTTAAAAGAGTCTTTAATACCAAAATTTGAGAAAGAAAATCACCAATTTTGCATATTTTGATTAGTTTTAAACTTTAGGGGCCTTAAGCTTAATAATTCAAAACTTTAAGGAGGCAAAATTAATTAATTCCAAACTTTAGGGGTTGAAATTAATCAACTTGAAACTTTATGGACCATAATTAATTAATTCAATACTTTAGAGGATCAATTAGAACAAATTTTGAAACTTTAGGGGCCAAAATTGACCAATTCAAAACTTTAGGGATCAAATTTTAAAAATTTGAAACTTTAGGGGTCAATTTGAATTAATTATGAACTTAGGGGGCCAATTTGAACTAGTAATTAAAGTTTGAGGGCTTTAATTATAAATTCAGAACTTTAATGGCCCGAATTAAATGATTTTATAACCTTAGGGACTGAATTATTAAATCCGAAACTTAAAGGTCCAAAACTTAATATAACTTAAAGGTTAGGGACTGAAATCTTAATTTCATGACCCTAACCCTAATTGCAACTAAGGACCTCAATTCATCTAATTTACAGAAGAGGCCCCCGTCCCCAAAAAATCCAGAAAACTGAAACCTAAAAAAAATAAATTTCTTTCTTTTTTCTCCTAGCGGTGCCGCACCTGGGCTGCTGCAACGAGGCAGCAGGGCCTGGCTGCTGCCGCAGCATGCTGCTGCGTTTTCGTAGCAGCCCGCTGTAGACGCCGGCGGCACACCCACCGTCGACTAGATCTTCTTTAATTTTTTTTTAACACGTACAGTAATCTGAATAAAAAAAAAACCGAATTCCAAATCCAAATTTTTTTTAACCATTAATCCGAATTTCGAAAATAACTAGAATTATACCGCAAAAATTTTCAAATTTAACAAAATATATAACCAAAAATTGTTAAATCTGAAAATTTCAAAATATATTGCAAGAATCAAACTAAATTATTCGATTCTCAATGATTCTACTTGAAGAGGCTCTGATACCACTTTTAGATAAATTTAGTGCTTTAAATTATCGGATCTTTCATGTTAAATCATCAAGAAATACAAGAATTAAAGCGGAAGCATACCTGAATCAGACATGATTAATGCAATATGAATTTCACGGTATGGTCTTCCAAATCTACACGCAGTCTCCTTTTCCTCTTTGTGATGGGATGCAGTAGAGAATGAATAATACATTGCATGTGATCTGGGGATCATAACCTATTTATATAGGGATGCCCTTTGACCTAATTCGGCCCATCATAGAATTAGGACTTGGGCCCGGTCTCTACACATATGTAAACCCATACTTTAAAAAAGATATTGTTCCTTTTATATCGCAGCCTAGTGATGGCGGCGGTTCTACTATCTAAGTTGCTAATTTTTATTCAATTTTTTTTAATTATTTACTATAATTAACTTTTATAAAGGGTGATGGTGATGTCGTAGTTGACACGATTGCATTTATAAAGGTGGTGTTTGATAGGAAATAAGAATTGATTAGGATGGGTGAGTGTTGATGTCGTGGGTGGATGAGTATATATATATATATATTCATTATTCACAACGAATTTTCGGAGATTCCTGACAATAATGACCAATTGGCGCCAAAGGGTGGGGGCTTAAGTCAAGTCTTACTTTTTTGTTTGTTTAGTCAAGAATTCATTAGCTGGAACTTTGATTTGACAAGTTAATACATTTTCCTAAGGAGTTATTGCTGATATGAATAGTCTTTTCAGTAGCTTTCATTCTTATAGCTGACGCTATAAGTAGTTTGCTTAAATGGTGAAAAATTACAAAAGAATATCAAAAAATTCTTAGTTACAACTATTCACAAAATGATAGTTGATCAAAAGTTCTTGCAACATCTCCAATTGTTAGTCATTGTATTACTACTAAATTGGAGAGCCACTTTTGAACTCTTTACAGGAATGAAAGATGGCATCGGCTGCATAGAAGAGGAGAAAGAAGCTCTTCTCAAGTTCAAAGATGAGCTCATTGATGAAGATGGCCAACTCTCTTCTTGGGGAAATGAAAAATATAAAAGGGATTGCTGCAAATGGAGTGATGTTAGTTGTGATAATCAAACTAATCATATTGTTGAGTTGGATCTTTATGATATGCATCTAAGAGGTAACATTAGCGTCTCGTTGCTTGAAATACAACATTTGAAATATCTGGACCTCACTTACAATGATTTCCATTATAGCAGAATCCCACATTTCATTGGTTCCCTAGGTAGATTACAGCATCTTTATATCATGAATTCTAATTTTAGTGGAGAAATTCCATGTCATCTTGGCAACCTTTCAGAATTGAATTCTCTTTATCTTGGCTCATCTGAAGATGGTTCGCTAACTAGCACAAATCTTGATTGGCTTTCTCGACTTCATTCATTAAGTAACCTGTACATGAGATCCGTTAACCTCACAATGGCAACCAATTGGTTACAAACAATAACTAAGCTTACTAAGCTTCAATCTTTATCCTTATATTCATGTAACTTGCCAATGGTACTTCCTCCCTCACCTTTCAATGCTTCTAATTCTCTTTCTGACTTTACACTCTCGAGAAATGAGTTCTCTTCTTCTTGGATATTTCCTTCGGTGTTTAACTTAAGCAGTAGCCTTAATTTCCTTGACCTCAGTTTCAACAAATTACGAGGTGAGATTCCAGTATCCTTGATGAATACGAGTAGTTTAGAAATTTTACGTTTATTTGGTAACGAACTCACGGGGGATTTGTCTTGTCCTACATTATCTTCCTCTTTGACGACCTTAGATCTTTTTGATAATATGTTTAATGGTACCATTCCCCAATGCATAGGAAGTCTTTCTAAACTCAAATATTTGCATCTTGGTTCAAACAACTTTGAAGACATAATCACTGAATCGCATTTCTCTAATCTTTCCCAATTAGATGATCTAGACTTGTCTTCCAACCCAAGTATCTCATTCAATATCAGTTTAGGATGGACTCCTCCTTTTCAACTGACGTCATTAGGATTATCTGGTTGCAAAGTGGGTCCACATTTCCCCACATGGCTTAGAACACAAAGGAGATTACATTATATTTATATCTCTAATGCTGAAATTTCAAACACCTTCCCTGATTGGTTTTGGGAGCTAAGTCCAAAGTTATCATATTTAAATGTATCACACAACAATTATCAAGGTGCCCTTCCCGATTTGTTGTCAAATTTCACTACTACTGCTTTCATAGATTTGAGCTTTAATCGTTTTAATGGTTCATTACCAATTTTGCCTTATAATGGATCTGTAATGGATTTGTCGAATAATGAACTTTCTGGGTCAATTACCAATTTCTGCAATGAAACTAGTCCCCGTTGGCATTTTCTTGACCTCTCTAATAACTTACTATCTGGACAACTTTTGGATTGTTTTGAAAACCTACCGTATTTGAGTTATCTTAATCTGGCTCATAATAATTTCTCTGGAAAAATCCCTTCACTAAATGTCACTTCATCATTGCACTTAAAAAACAACAGTTTCACTGGAGAAATTCCAACATCGTTGAGGAATTGTACTTTCTTGACTTTTATTGATCTTTCTCAAAATAAGTTGACTGATAATATACCTATATGGGTGGGAGATACTTGGACTTATTGGTCTTTCTGAGTCTCAGGACTAATGAGTTCTTTGGTAGTATTCCTTCCAATTTGTGTCGTCTTGCACACTTACAAGTGTTGGACTTTTCTTTAAACAAGATTTCTGGTGGTATACCAAAATGCCTAAACAATCTCACTGCTATGATTCAAGTGGATTCTAAGTTTGATGTGTCATCTCATCTGCAAAATTTTGGTGGCTTCGAGAGTGCATTTGTAACATGGAAAGGAAAGGAGGCCGAGTACATAAATACCCTCGAACTGGTGAAACTAAATGATCTTTCAAGCAACAATTTAGTTGGTGATGTTCCTATGGAAATTACCAGTCTTGTAATGCTAGTTGGATTGAACTTTTCAAGAAACAACCTATCTGGATTCCTTCCTGCAAATATTGAACAACTAAGGTCTTTGGATTTTCTTGATTTTTCAAGAAACCACTTCTCTGGTGGTATTCCTAATGGCGTTTCTCAATTGGATCAACTTGGAGTGCTAGATTTGTCATACAATAGCTTGTCAGGCAAAATTCCACAAAGCATTCATTTACGAACTTTCAATGCTTCTGCGTTCGAGGAAAACCCTGGACTTTGTGGCCTTCCACTTACAAAAGCTTGTCCAGAAGATGAAATTGTTCAAGTCCCAAAGATCGGTTATAATTTTGATGGGATGAAAGACCAAGAGGAGGACAAGCTTATCAATGATGGATTTTACGTTAGTATGGCAATTGGGTTCGTTTTTGGATTTTGGGGGGTATGTGGAACTTTCATGCTCAATCACTCGTGGAGGATTGCATTTTTCAAGTTGTGGAATAGCATAATGGATTGGTTGTATGTAAAGATAGCCATCAACAAAATCCGTCTCAGGGAAGCATATCACAAATCTGTAAAATTTTAGCTTGTGTGATATTGTCTACCATCTAAAATTTGAAATGCCTAAAAGTTAGATGCTGCTGTTCTATCATTGTATATAATTGTATTCTATGAAAGTTGTACAGGATCTAATAAATATATGTGTGTTAAAAAAATATTTGTGTATAAGCTTTCATATATAAGCTCATGAAATCTAAATAAGATAATTCGTTATTTACTTCCACGGAGGGCACCCCACCCAAACTCTCTCATTTCAACAACCACCTAGTAGTGACCCCAATTATTGAATCTTGGTTCACAAAAGTGAGGTTGAAATAAAGGGAATGACTGAAAATAGTGGGTCTAGCATCAGGTATAGAGAACATTTTTCTCTCTTCCCCCCCTCTTGGTATTGTTATCCTTTTTTCTCCCTCGAGGCATGTATATTGATGGAAGACCAAAATATCTCATTAGAAAATTACATGTCCACCATATGTGCGTCCTTAGTAGAATAATTTTGGGACTTCATCCAAGTGAGGGTTTTATATGCCAATTTGTAAAAGATTAGGGATCTAAATGGTTAAAAAGTAAATTGAAAAAAAAATAAAAAAATCAGCAACACCTTTCACCAGACCCTATAATAGCAGGAATTATGCACTTCTTTGTCCACCTACCCTACAGTAAGATTATTTGTCCCATAACAATCTTTTGATTCTTGACAACTATACAGATTCTAGTGGTATTCCTCACAAAAAAGAAGTCCCACAAGTAACAATTGAAGGATAACAAGAGAAAGAGATAAGGTCAAGATACCACGTCTGATACACTAAATTAGACTGGACGACGGATAAAAACACTTCACATGGATCTATTTCTTAAATATTTCTAGCCATATCCAGTCTATTAATTAAAATAAACCAGTAAGGAATGGAGAAGTAAAATAGTTTCTAGGATTAGGCATCAAGCACATCTGATTTTAGCAGGGTTCAAAAGATTATTTTTACCATAATTGTAACCCCTAATATTTGCACCAGAAAAAAGATTTTTTGGTCAAGTTGAAACTAAGCAATACTTGAGCAAGCCTTATGAAACATAAAATTATAGCAATGGTTTGATCTCAAAATCAAAAGATTCGTGTTTTTTTCTCTACCCCACCGGAAAAATGGTAGTACAAATTGAAACACTTGGGTTATGAAATTAAACGACAAAAGCATTGGCTCCATCCATTTTAAATAGATATTAATATTCAACATTCCAAGGAAAAAATTAATAAATCAAGTAATACGAGGACCATCGCTTTATGCTAGAAACATTTAAAAATCTAGTTTAAGGAAAAAATAAATTACCTTTGGGAAATCATTGAGAAGTCTACACCAAGACCAGATGGACTTTACTAAAAATTACAAAATGTGTATAACTGCTTACAAATTTTGAAGAAGAGCAAAACACAGAAGGCAAGTAGCAATAAAAAGACTCAAATAAAATAAATTTTAAAAAAGGAAACATACAAAAATGTATTGAGATAAATAATCTCAAAGTTTCTTCAATGGTAGAAAATTCAAGAATTTATCTTACTTTTCTTCTGAATTGCTGCTAGTGCATTTGCTAGTAATTGAGCATAAGGTAATCCTGAAAGAAAATATTTTATCAGTTCAATTAAATCCTACATGCACAAAGCCAAAAAAAAATAAAAAATCAATTTCTGTATGTTGAGAAGAGTTAAGCCATACAGGCATAGAGTCAAAAAATCTATGTATGAATGTATTCAGGGGGAGGGGGATACCTTGTTATGGAGCTAATCCTTCCTTTTGTGCTATTTATGACCATCTTTGCAAAAATAAAATAAAATTAAGGACTCTCTTATTGAATAGATACAAAGATCCCACCTATTTAAGCAATCATTGTAGGAGAAAAAATGAGATGAAGATAATGTGAAAATCCTGACTTGAAGTATATCATTATATTACAACCAATGTAAAATTGTAATCAGTAACACAAAGGCTGCAAACAGGGGTCTTTCTTTGTGAAGACCTCAGCTTTAAATGTTGGAAAGTTAAAGCAATGAAGTGAAGAAAATTGGTAATACCAAAGAGGAAAAGAATAGAGATATAATTAGAGGCTTGAACACGAAAATGATAACGCTATCCTCAAACGTTATTTGCCCCCTTTCCAATGCTTTTGAGGAGCTCCGGCAAATAGTTTGTAGGATTAAACAAGCCTTTGTGTGAAGAACACCAAAAGCAAAGTGTATCTTTCACAAAGAACAAGTGAAAATAAATATATGATTGATTATGTGATAATTTGGATGAATAATTTTGTGGTGGATTTCTTAATTTTCTCAAGAGTGTTTTTCATTGCAATTGGAACACCTATTTATAGGCTATGAAGGGTTCCCACGAAATGATGCAAAATTATGTTGAAAAGGCGCTAAATTCAAAAGAAAAACGGTAAAAAACGAATCCCCAACGGTCACTTTGTATAATCATACAACCGCATGGGGCCCTCCCGAAACTGGGAGGGCCACTTGCACTATAACCATGCAGAATAAAATTCCAGAAAATATAATCAAGAGAATGAAACAAAGAAGATGAAGAATATAATAAAATTGAAGGCTCGAACGCATAATTGCTATCCTCAAACTATATTTGCCTCCTCTCGAGATTGAATGAGATGCTTAATGATCTTGACAAACGGTTTGTAGGATTATAACAAGCCTTGAAAAGGACCTAGCACTAAAGCATAAGTGCGATCCTCCAAAACTTTAAGAACACAAGGAAGATATGAGTATGAATATAAATCGAGAGTATAATCTTTGATTTTGGAATGAATGTTGATCTCAAATGTTTTCATTTGATTTTCATATATAGTGTATTAATTCCTCCATCATCTATATATAGATTTGAATCAACACTTCATGAATAGGTGCCAAAACATCATGAAAGGTTGTGAAAACCCCCCCAAAACCCGCCAAAAAATCGGCTTGAAACGGCCTCTAATGGTCACGTAACTCAACCATACGACCGCATGGTATTACTCCATGCGGTAGCATGGAGTACTTCAAACGTGGCCTTCAAATCTCGGGTGATGGCCATGCGGCCGCATGGCACAAATAATGGGCCACCGTTTGGTTTCCACACCATTTTCCTTGGCTTCCTTCATATTGTTTCATTCCATCTTCATTCGTTAATTGAATTTCGAACAACAATTCAACAATCCTCCACATGTTCAAAATTCAATAAAGGAATCTCATACTCAAATCATATGATACTCATGCATAAGGACTAAATATCTTTCGATTTAAATCTAGCCAATGCCGTGGACAATGTGGACAACTCCAACAAGTTCAAAAAGAAAGGGAAATTTCTTGGTCCTAGAAAGGATCAAGGAAAATTTAAAAACAAAGCCAAAGGACCGTGCTATGTTTGTGGGAAACTGGGACACTATGCTAAAGATTGCAGGCATAGGAAACAACATAAGAAGGAAGGACAAGTGAACTCTGTTGATGAAATTATTGCAATAGTGAGTGAAATCAATGCAATCCAAGGCAAAGTTCCGAGCTGGTGGTACGATACATGCGCTCAATCCATGTATGTTATGATAAGTCTCTCTTCAAAACTTATCATGACATTGAAATACAAATGGGAAATGAAGGAAGATCAAAGGTGATCGGTAAAGGAAATGTTGAACTCCTTTTCACTTCGGGAAAGAAGATCACTTTAACAAATGTCATGCATGTACCGGAAATGAATAGGAACTTAGCAAGTGGTATACTCTTGGGAAAACTCGGGATTAAATCTGTTTTTGAATCTGGAAAACTTGTATTAACCCATAGTGGACATTTTGTTGGAAAGGGCTATTCCACCGAAGGAATGGTCAAGCTATGTACTGTTGAGGATAACTCAAATAAAATTAAATCTTTTGCATATGTTATTGATTCATTTAATTTATGGCATGGTAGATTAGCACATATAGGAGTTAGTACTATGAAAAGAATGATTAAATGTGGATTAATACAATGTGATATTGATAACTTAGAAAAATGTGAAATATGTGTTAAATAAAAAATGATTAAAAAGCCATTTCATAGCATAGAAAAAACAACAAAATTACTTGAACTTGTTCATTCCGACATTTGTGAATTGAATGGAATATTAACTAGAGGCGGTAATAGATATTTTATTACTTTTATTGATGATTGTTCTATGTATACTTACTTAAACATAAGGATGAAGCCTTTAGTGCCTTTAAAACTTACAAGATTGAAGTTAAAAATCAATTAGGAAGAAAATTAAAAACTTTAAGAAGTGATAGAGGTGGAGAGTATTTTTCAAATGAATTTAACATATTTTGTGAACAAAATGGAATAATACATCAATCTTCTGCACCTAGAACACCGGAACAAAATGGATTAACAAAAAGAAAGAATACAACTTATTTGGAAATGATAAATGTTATGTTAGTAAATTCTGAATTACCTTTTAATTTATGGGGTGAAACATTACTTTGTGCTTGTCATATAACAAATAGAATTCCTATGAAAAAGAATATAATTTCCCCATATGAACTTTGGAAAGGTAGAAAACCAAATATTAATTATTTTAAAGTGTGGGGGTGCCTTGCGTATTAAAAAAATATGGATCCAAAGAGAACCAAGTTATTTCCTAGAGGTATCAAATGTGCCTTTGTAGGATATGCCCTTAATAGCAAAGCCTCTAATTATATCTATATTCTTTTCCTCTTTGGTATTACCAATTTTTTTCACTTCATTGCTTTAACTTTCCAACATTAAATAACATCAAAAAAATTATAGCATCGATTATAAATTCAACTAATAATTCCTAATTTGTGTGCCGCATGATTAGACAAACGATATCAACGATTAAAACCGAAAATTTTAGAGAACAATAGGATTCTTACCTAAAGCAAACTGATGCAAAATGAAGAATGTAAATCGAAAACCATAGACAACAAAGGAACAATCACCAATCACATATTTCGATGATATTTAGCAACAAGAAAGAAGAAAAGTCGCAATGTCACATAGCG